TCTGGGCTTTCTTCTAAGAATCCCTCTGCCACCATGCTTTAATCTGCTATTGTTCTAGGACAATCTTAAATTTAGATTATCGAGAGCAGAGGCCTTTGCACAATAGTACCAATGAGGAGCAGTTTCATTGCTGTCAGAGAGGAAGAATTGAGAGGTTTCTTTTCAATATTTTTCTTATCAAAGAAGATATCGATCCAAGCATTTTATTACAATTCAATTAAAATGTGTGATTTTCTTCACATAAATTATAATATTTGTATTTCTTATCAAGGTGAATTCTTTGTACTATTCTGTAACCCTGATGAATTAGATCCTCTAGTAAATGTATTTTTAACTGGCTGTTTCTGCTAAGGGTTTCAAACATTATCCAGACATAAATTTATTTTATTTATTGTAGTTTAAACCTTAGAATTTTTAAACTATGCAATCATATCGGAGGGGGAAATTGTGATTATTTTACTTTCTCCCTTCCAAGAGTCTTGCCTTTTATTTTATTTTTCAAAAATTTTTTATTTTGGAATAATTTAAAATTTAATTCAAACAGTTGAAAAGACAGTACAGAGGATTCTCCTGTACTCTTCACCCAGCTTTCCCTAATATAAACATCTTACATAATAACCATGGAACATCGCCAAAACTAAGATATTAACATTTATATAATTAGTTTTCCTTTGTTGTTGTTGTTAATGCTATTAACTGAACCACAGACTCTCCTAGGATTCCACTAGTTTTTCCTCTAATTTTTTTCTGTTTTAGAGGCCACATTACAGTTAGTCTGGGATCCTTGCCTGTTCTGATCAGGTGTGTTTTGCTTCCTTATCTTCCAAACCTCTGACTTGATCCTTGGCTCCATCTACTCCACTGATGATTCCCTATGAATTACGTACTAGAGCCCGGATGCACGAAATTCGTGCAGGAAGCTCCGAGGGCCGAGGCAGCAGCCCCGGCTGCCACTCCAGCGCTCACAGCAGCAGCCCCGGAAGAACGTCCGGGAGGACGTCTGGTCTAATTAGCATAACACACTTTTATTATTTTTTTTAATATATTTTATTGATTTTTTTTACAGAGAGGAATAGAGAGAAATAGCTAAAAACATCGATGAGAGAGAACCATCGACCAGCTGCCTCCTGCACACCCCCTACTGGGGATGTGTCCACAACCAATGTACATGCCCTTGACTGGAATCGAACCTGGGACCTTTCAGTCCGCAGACCGATGCTCTATCCACTGAGCCAAACCGGTTTCGGCCAACACTCTTTTATTATTATAGATTCTCCATTTCAGTTAGTGTGGCCTTCGTTTCTGACTGGTTCTCTTTTATGTTTTCTACCTGTGTTTTCCTGTTTCCTGTCTCTTGTTGAAGTTCTAAGTTCCCCTACTCTTCACCTAAGTTAATCATGCATCCTTACATGTGCAGTCTTTTGAACTTTACATTTAGTGGATTGCTTGTCTCCATTTTGTTTAGTTCTTTTTCTGGAGCTTTGTTCTGTTCTTTCATTTGGAACATGTTTATCTCTTCACTTTGGCAGCCTTCCTGTGCTTGTTTCTACGTATTAGGTAGAGCCAAGTTTGGTAGAGTGGCCTAATGCAGTAAGTGTTCTGTAGGTCCAGTGGCACAGCCTTCCCCGATCACACAAGCTGGCACTTGAGGTGCACCACCTGTGTGAGCTCTGTACACCTGCTTCTTGTAATTGAGTCTTGATTGCTGTTGGTATGTCAATGAGAGTGATTTACCCCCAAGCCAATTGACTGCAAAGATTGGGATCATGGACCACTGATCTCCAACTACTTTGGAGAATCAACTGTGCAGGGACTCACCCCACAGAGCAGGACTTACATCAGTGGGGCTCTGGTGCCCACTGAGTCTGCCCCTTGAGTATGTTGCTTGTGGAGTTGGTTAGGTAGTGGTGCTTTAAAATGGTCTGAAGCTGTCCATCCATATGCTGGCTCCGAGGCCTCTTGGGAGGTGCAGACCAAGGTCAATTGCCACTTATGTTCTTCCCACAGCCACTCAGCAAGAGCTACAAAGTGGTCTGCAGATGGTTGCTACTTGTGCTGGTTTGGAGGTGCCCAGGCAAGGCCAACCTGTGAACCATGGTGGGCTGCCACTATGTGTACCAGATGTGGGGTCACTTTAGCAAGAAGTGCAGGGCTTACTGAAGCCCGATGCTGCTTACTTAGGAGATTTTAGGAAAAATCTGAAGCCATTCATATGGAAAAGCCACTGGGTGGACTTAAAAGTTGGGTGAAGTGGAACCTCAGGGAGTCACCAAGGCAGAGCAAACAGTGTGAACCAGGTTGATGGATCCTCAGAGGGAACCTCAGCAGCTGGTAAATCCCTCCCAATTTTTATCCTTCACACTTGGGTGTGGGACCAGCTTGTCTAGCATTTGCACTTCTTCTACCAGTCTTGAGGTGGCTTCTTTAATGTCCTAGTTGTATAACTTTTTTATTCAGCCAGATTTCAGGTGGTTCTGAATGATAGTGGTTCTGTAGTTTAGTTGTAATTTTGATGTGGATGTGGGAGGATTCGAGTACCACATTTACCTACTCTGCCATCTTGACTGGAAGGATGTTGCCTTTTATTTTTGTTTCATGTCTTATTGCATATGCTAGAACTTTTAGTACAATGTTCAATGATGGTTTGAGAAGGTAGGCATTTTGGTTTTGATTTGGTTTCATTGGGAAGGCCTTTCACCATTATTAATGACTCTGGCTCTTGTTTTTCAACAGAAAATTTTATCATGATGTATGCATCCCCCTATTCTGATCTGTTTTAAGAATAAGTGCTGCCACCTCTTTCTTCTGCCATTCCTGGTGCTGCTTCTGTGCTTGATTGGTGTGAATCTGGTACCTTTTTTTGTGAAGTGACAGTTAATGAGACTCCAGCACTTTCCATGGCCAATAAAAGTCCAAGAAAAAAGTCAAAACTGAGAACAACTCTCATATTAATTTGAAAGTGGCAGAATAGGATAGTTCTGTGGTACCATGCAAGACACCACTTAGTAAACTAATGAAAGCCTGTTGTGAATGTCAGGGTTTGCAAATGAGGCAGGTCAGATTCCAATTTGACAGGTAACCACTCAGTGAAACACACACATCTGCACCATTGGAAATGAATGAAGATAGAATTGGTAATGTTCCAGTAGCGGACAGGAGGTGTCCAGTAAAAAGGGAGCTCCGACTTTACTCCAGAACTCTGTTCCTTCAGACCAAGACATTCTTTGGTCTGAAGATGTTTGCCTCATTTGCAAACCCTGCCATTCACAACAGGCTTTCATTAGTTTACTAAGTGGTGTCTTGCTTGGCACCAATGCCCATTCAACATTTATTTTTATGTTCCAGCAAGTTATGTTTTTTTTCATTTATCATTGTAAACTAGGGACAATGTTACAACTTTTTTGTAATTAGCTTATATGTAGGGTAATCTCTCTTTTAATAGGAATAAATTACTCTAAAAGAAATAAAGCCTCAATAGTCCTCCTTTCAAATCAGGCATCTTGTTATTTAAATAAACTTCTTGTTTAAAAATGAGGGTGGGAGGGGAGAGGATGAGAATAGGTATTTAATTTTGCTAAGTGCCTTTTCAGCTTCATTGGGACTAGATGATGTTTTACTTAGACTACTAATATGGCACATTATTGTTAGTCATAACACCTTCACATTCTGGGATAAGCCTTTAATTTAGATTTTCCAAGGTGCCCTCATATATATATTCCTCTGTTGAGTTTTACTAAAAGCCTGTGAGGAAGTGACTGTCTCTTATAGGGATGAATGGGAATTGACTAGAAGGGGCAAAGGGGATTTTCTGGGGGGGTGGAAACTTTCTGTCCTGATTGGGTGATGATTATATATGAGTATACAGTTGTCAGAGCTGAAGTGGAATCCTCAAGTGAGCCGTTTACTGCATATATGAGTAAACGCTGGCACAGATGTTGAGTTATGCAGTGTGAGAGATTCTGTCCTTTACCATAGAGACCCAAGAGGGGAGGCGGCAGCCGCAGTTCACGCAGCTGGGTGATGTTTAATCATATTAGAACCAGGACTCCTGGTTTACATCCAAGATTACAGGATCCGGCCAAAGCTGAATGGTCTCAGATGAGAAGACTGAATAAGTTCAAGTTGATGCCCTGGCCAGGTAGCTCAGTCGGTTGGAACATGGTCCCAATATGCCAAGGTTGCAGGTTCCATTCCCTCATGGGGGTACATGTAAAAGCAGCCAATGAATGTATAAATAAGTGGAACAACAAATCTATCTCAATAATTTTTTTTTAAATTGTTACTGATCTCCTATGACTTCTTAAAAATATATAACCTCGGAGGTGCTTCCCACATTGTAACCCAACCTAGTCACTGCCTCATCGCTCCTTCAGCAAGTCCAGCGGGCCAATGGTCCTGAAAAAGGCCTAGGATGCCCTAGAGAGGGTATGAGCGGACTTCAGAGAACCAGAGGGCTGTGTCTGTGGCCTGTGGGTGCTTGGCAGGTGGGTGGCGAGCTGGGGGGTCTAGCTGTCTGGCTCTCGCGCCTGGCCACCACCTACTCCTATGTGGTCTTCTGCAAAGGGCTGACCTGTACACCGCTCATCTTCTATTGGCCTAACTGTCCCCTACCTCTATGTATTGCGTCTTCCATGATACTCAACATCCAACCCAAAAGTTGCTGAGGTTCCTGACCTGCCAGCAAATGACTTGCGTGACCACCTAGGACTGGGATCTTGTATGCCAGGTTCCCTCTAGGCTGGCTTTCCTGGGAGGGCTTTGTAAATACTGGATCCATAAGTAAAGTCGCCCTCGATCCCTTATGAGTGGCTTGTCACCACTGAGTCATTCTCAAATAGGTTCATATGGAGATCAACTGAAGACCTTCCACGGACTAAGACAGGCATGTCCTCGGGCTCCCTGCATCAGAGAACCCAGCGTGGGGCGGAAGAGAGACTCTGAGCACCTGCCTCACAAAAGTGCAGGGAGAGGACTCGGACACGGTACTGTGTAGCCTTTGAACACAGGAGAGCCCTCGCCTACCAGATGCACTTTCCCGGGTGAATAAACCTGTGGTTGATGTACATGTAAATTCACAAAATGAGACCTTATCATTGGAAATGAAAATTGATTGGAGTGAGGCCAACCTCATGCTTCACAATAGCACCAAAGTACTTGCCTATTTGAAAGAATCAATAAGAAGAAAGTCTGCTTCCACAGTGGATCAGGGCAAGACTATGTATCTGTTCTTTGCTCTTATAGAAAAGCATTTTGCTGGGGTGTCCTGTGGTGTCAAGGAGGCCTGGGCAAGGGGCTGGTTGGGAGGTGGGCCCTGAGATCCATAGGACCACAGAGGAGAGCCTTGGGGGTCAGGACTGCCATGCTATCAGAGGCGGTGAGCAATGTGAATTTCTGAGGATGGACCAAGTGCTTTTGTTGAGGAGTGAGGCTCTGAGCTGGAAACATCTCTCCTGCATTCAAGTCTGTCTGAAGCACTGAAGTATTCCCAAATGGTGAGACACACTGTGTTTCCCCCGTTCTTTCAGAACCATACTTTCAGAGCAAAGAGCAGAATATAGGAAAATGCTTCCAAGTGTAAAAAGTACCTCAAATGATCTGCAGGTGACACTGAGACTTCTGACTATGCAAGCTTTTGAAGGAGCAAAGCCATTATGCCAGTTAAGGGGGGAGTTAAAATAGTGAGATTAATGTACAAATTTGTGGGTAGGCACAGGACTTTGTTGGAAAATCTGTAAGGAGGAGTCTCTGAAAAGCCAGGGGCCTCTTAGGATGACCTTGCTGAAGGCGGCAGCCCCTGCCTTGACTTTGCCAAACAAGTCCGAGCCCCCAGGTGTTTTGCTGGAATCTCTATGCTTAGTCTTTTCGACCTGACCTTGTAGAAGCATGTGCTTTCTCAAGGATGCTTAGCCTGCTTATAATATCTAGAGGTTAATTTGAGTTCAAGCTATTGATACAATAAAAGCCTAAGGAGGCAGGTGAACGGGGCTGTTTTGATGCCAACCAGCCCCTTAGGCTCTCTTTCATAGCAATGTGTGTCAGAGTAATCTATTCATTCGTTGCTTAAGGTCTGCTGGCCAGTCCTGGCACAAGTTTTCTTAAAATGGCTTCTTTCCATTTAATCTGGTGCAGCTCTGAAATTCCTGCTTTGGTTTCTGTGTCCAGAGGTAGCTATATTAATACCATACAAAATAGACTTTAACTAAAAAACTGTTACAAGAGGCAAAGTAGGACTTTATGTACTGATAAAGGGTCAATTTACCATGAATATATAACAATTATCAACATATATGCACTCAACATCAGAGTTCCTAAATATATAAAGCAAACATTCACAGAATTGAAGAAGGAGATCTTCAGTACTGCCAGGAGACTTCAATATTCCACTGTCAATAATGGATGGAACAACCAGACCAGAGATCAATAAGGAAATATAGGACTTGAACAAAAATATAAGCCAATTAAACATAGACATATACAGTCAACTTTAGCATACAATAGCAGAATACTCATTTTTCTAAAGTGTACATGGAATAGTCTCCAAAATAGACCATATATTAGGTCACAAAATAAGTCTTAATAAGTTTAAAAAATTGGAATTATACAAATTACTAGAGGCCTGGTGCATGAAATCTGTGCACTGGGTGGGGAGGGGTCCCCTCAGCCAGCCTGCACCCTCTCCAATCCAGTACAGTACATTCCTCTCATAATCTGGGAACGACCACTGGCTTTTAACTGCTCACATGCCTGCCTGCCTGATTGCTCCTAATTGCCCTGCACACTGGCCTGGTTGCCCCTAACTGCTACCCCTGCTGGCCTGGTAACCCCCACTGCTTCCTCCCCCAACGGCCTGGTCACCCCCAATTGCCCCCTGTGGGTCCAGTCGCCCCACGCAGCCTGCTGCTCAGTCGTTTGGTCGCCCTTCACTAATTCCTTGCCGGCCTGGTTACCCCAAGCAGCCTGTTTGGTCATCCCTTCATTTGCAATGGTCACGTAGGCTTTTATTATTATAGATTTTTTTAATCCCAATAAAATGCAATTAGAATTCAGTAGCTGAAGAAAAACTGGGGGTGGGAAATCTACAAATAGTGGCTATAAAGCAACTCTTAAACAATAGCTCAAAGAAGAAACTACATGGGAAATAAGAAAATATCTTGAGTCAGTGAAAATTAAGAAAACATAACATATTAATACTTATGGAATGCAGTGAAGGCAGTGCCAGAGGGGAAATTTATAGCTTGAAATGCTTACTTTAAAACAGAAAAGATCTCAAATCAACAAGGTAATTTTACATCTAAAGAAATTATAAAAAGAACAAACTAAACCCAAATCTAGCAAAAGAAAGGAAATACTAGAGATAATAGTAGAGATGAACAAACAAGGGAATTGAAAAATAATAGAAAAAAATCAAGGAAACTAAGAATTCATTCCTCAAAAAGATCAAACAAAATTGGCAAATCTCCAAGATGAAAATTTAAAACTAGCCAGGACTGGTTTGGCTCAGTGGATAAAGCGTTGGCCTGCCGACTGAAACGTCCTGGGTTCGATTCCGGTCAAGGTCATGTACTTTGGTTGTGGGCACATCCCCAGTGGGGGTTGTGCAAGAGGCAGCTGGTCGGTGTTTCTCTCTCATCGACGTTTCTAACTCTCTGTCCCTCTCAATTCCTCTCTGTGTAAAATCAATAAAATATATTTTTAAAAAAGAAAATTTAAAACTAAAGAAGACTCAAATAACTAACATCAGAAATGAAAGAGGGCACATTATAAACAATCTTATAGAAATTAAAGATTATAAGGAAGTACAAATAAAAAAAAATATACCAACAAATTGGATAACCTCCACAAAATGGGAAACGTCCTGGGAAGGGTAAGAGTCTGGAAGCCACTCGTGCTGTCCCTGCTTTGTAACACAGGTCCTGGCTGCCTCAGCCATGACCACAGGGCAGGACAGAGTTCACCAGCCACTAGCTGCCCAACAAGAATGGAAGGGCAGCTTCTCAGGCAAGTGCTGTCCAGCAGGTATATTCTAAGACTGGTCTCCACCTCTTGTCTCTTGGTCTTTTTGGCCCTCTGAATCCTGCAGCTCCTGGTTCTTTATCCATAGGTATTTATTAGATGTATTCTTTGTGCCATACAACTGCTAGTGGAGGGCATAAGGTGAGATAGGAACCATGAGGATAACTGAGTGATGGGTGGGAGAGAGGCCTGTTAGTAAGGTGACCTTCATGCAGAGAGCCACTGTCCTTGGTGCAGAGAGCCCGGTAGAGGAGTCCTCAGAGAGCACCACAGGAACTATGGCCTCAGGGGGTAGGAGCTGGGCTTGTTTGAGCAAAGCTAGGGGTCACCTGGTGTGAACGAGGTGTGAAGAGGTCACAAGGGCAGGTGGGAGAAGATCACACAGGATACTGTAGGGAGCATGGGTTTCATGTTGTGAGTGAGAGACATCTCCAAAAAGCTTTAGGCAGAGAACTGATAGGATCAGATGTGTATTTTCTGTGCACATTCTTGGATTAAAGGTGTGTGTAAAGGCGGGGAGGGCAGCAAGACTGGAAGTACCTGGTGGATCCTCCAGGGCATGTTTATAAGGAGCAGCCCTTGGTGTTCTACCTGGAGGGGTGTCTGTGTTCCCTGTGGTTCTCTGCACAGGAAAGGCATCAGAACCATGCCTGGTAGGAGATTAACTGGGGGATATGCCTCACACGTTTCCTTCTTTCCCCTAACTTGGATGAGTTAGGAATTGATCTGCTCCTGAACAAGGGCATCCAGAGGGGTCAAGAGTAGTACCCAAGGTTACTTAAACTCCTTTTAAGAATATCCATTTCTACCCTAGCTGGTTTGGCTCAATGGATAGAGCGTCGGCCTGTGGACTGAAGGTTCAATTCTGGCCAAGGGCCCATGCCTAGGTTGTGGGGGCATGCAGGAGGCAGCCGATCAATGATTCTCTCTCATCATTGATGTTTCTATCTTTCTCTCCCTCTCTAAAATCAATAAAATATATTTTTAAAAACAAAGAATATCCATTTCCTTTTGTTACTGTGTGCATCATAGGAGTGACTTTTGTACCCTTCATTAGGGCAAGTCCACACTGTACATGTGAGCCTGTCCAGGTGTCAGGACATGGAGAGAGAAGGACCGCGTCCCAACAGGCACACAGAACGAATGCACATGCAGGAGAACTTCAGGCGCCTTTGGTGTGGTCTGGGAGCGAGATGGGTAGGCTTGAACAGGATGGTGAGCAGAGCTAGGAGTAAATTAGGAAGGTTTGGGGCCACAGTCAGGGTGAGTGGTTAGTACTTGCTGACGGATAACACAGGGTAGGGCCAAAGTAGGTTTACAGTTGCTTATATGGACAATTATACAATCAGTAATCTTACCTAATGATACACAAACATGTAAATTGACCATACCTTGACTACGCCCACAGCCAATCAGAGTGAGTATGCAAATTAGAAAGCCAAAGATGGCGGCCACCCAGCTGCTCCAGGCATCGAGTGGCCAGGCAGGGCAGGATGTCTGCTATGAGAGGGAGGGCGGGCAGGGTACAGGGTAGGGGGAAAGGATCTACAGGAGTTGAGTGCCGCAGGGAAGATAAGACTGCAGACCCCGAAATAAAAAATATTTTATGGAGTCCTAAAAACAGAATGGAAGATCGCAAGAATCAAGTCAAAGATTTGGAACATAAAGAGCCAGAAGACTCTCCTTCGCAGATGCAAGAAGGCCAGAGAATCCAGAAAGTTGAAGATAATGTAAGAAACCTCTGGGACAACTTCAAGCGAAGCAACATCAGAATTATGGGGGTCCCAGAAGATGAGAGAGAGCAAGATATCGAAAACATACTGAAAGAAATAGTGACAGAAAACTTTCCCCACCTGGTGAAAGAATTAGACTTACAAGTCCAGGAAGCGCACAGAACTCCAAACAAAAGGAATCCAAAGAGGACCACACCAAGACAAATCATAATTAAGATTCCAAGAGCAAAAGACAAAGAGAGAATATTAAAGAAGCAAGAGCAAAGAAGGTAGTTACCTATAAAGGAGCACCTATACGATTGTCAGCTGATTTCTCAACAGAAACCATGCAGGCCAGACGGGAATGGCAAGAAATATTTAAGGTGATGAATAGCAAGAACCTACAGCCAAAGATAATCTATCCAGCAAAGCTATCACTCAGATTCGAAGGTCAGATAAAGAGCTTCACTAATAAAAAAAAGCTAAAGGAGTTCATCACCACCAAACCAGATTTATATGAATTGCTGAAGGGGGTTCTTTCAGAAGAGAAAGTAAATAAAGATAAAAATTATGAACAACAAATACGTAACTATCAACAAGTGAATCTAAAAACCAAGGAAACTAAAAAAAAAAAAATCTGAGGAACAATATTAACTGTTGAATATAATAGAATCAGAGGTATGGAAGGGGAGTGAACTGTTTATTCTTGGGGAAAAGGGGAGAGGGGGATGTGGGAAGAGACTGAACATAAACTGTGCACCTATTGATGAGGACAATGGGGGGTGGGGAAAGGGCAGAGGGTGGGGTGAGAAGGGGGGGAAAGGAACATTTGTAATAATATGAACAATAAAAATTTATAAAAAAAAAAAAAAAAGACTGCAGACCCCGGTGTCTGCAGCGAAGATGGCAGGCTCTGGCCCGAGCGAAGGCCTGGGTCCCGGGTGCCGGAGGAAAACCAGTGCCGGAAGC